GCAGACTTCCCGCTGAGCAGGGAGCCAATGTGGGGCTCAATTCCAGGACCCTGGGATCATGGCCTGAGCCGAAGGCAGACGCTTAACGATTGAGCCACCCAGGCGCCCCTGGATGGCTTCTTAAAAGGGATTTCCGAGCCGTACTCCTGGAGTTTCTACTTCAGTAGGCCTGGGTCAGACCCCAAGAATTCGCATTTCTTGCAAGTTCTCAGGAGGTGCCGAGGCCACAGGTCTGGGACCATATTTGAGAATCACTGAACCTGGGGGCACCTGGGTGGCTCAGATGGTTAGGCTGCCTTTGGCTCAGGTCATGATCCCAGGGTCCTGGGATCGAGCCCTACATCGGGCTCCCTGCTCCGTGGGAAGCCTGTTCTCCCCCTCCCTCTGCTGCTCCCCTTGCTTGTGTTCCCTCTCTCACTGTGTCTCTGTCAAATAAATAAATAAAATCTTAAAAAAAAAAAAAAAAAGAGAATCATTGAACCAAAGAAATGTCATGGTCATGTGCTTGAAGAAATACTACACTCTTTCCGAGTTCCTACCTCCCTACCCACTGCACACGCAACACACCGTGACACATATGAATTATATTCGAACTCAACTACAGCGTCCAGGGGTTTTAGTGAAGCTCATCTTTGTAAGCAGCTGCTTTTGAGTGACAGTGGAGAGGCCTAGTGGATGAGCCTGGGGGTGGGAGGACAGGGTGCGGTGGGTGTAAGGAAGGCTGTAAGGACAGGAAGCCAGTTAGAGCTGCCTGCTTTGACTCACCTGGAGGTGCTTTGGGGAGGGGGGTTGGTGGCTTGGAGAGTGGTCCTGGAGGAGAAGGGGAGCCCAGAGAGGGAATCGGAGGCCAGGGGCTGGTCTGAGGGAAGACAATGAAGGATCAGATTTAAAGGTCAAAGCCAAGACAAACTGGATTCAGCGATTAACCAGGACATCTTTAAGTGTCTTTTTAGAAATGCGGTTTGTTCCTCCCAGAATTCATTACAGCTGATCCAGTAAAGTGGCTTTCCCCCTAAATAGTGAAGGAGCATATAGAGCGCTGAAGTCCCTCTAGGGAGAGGGGGTGAGGCAGATAGACCCCTGACCCAAGGACAAATTTGACCATTCCCTTGGGTGGTGCCAGCGAAGAGTGGTCTCCATGACTCTCCTCCACCACCTCCCATCTGGCATTGCACAAACCCTGGCTGCCCTGGGCTACCCCACTACCCCTGCCAACCCCCCCTGCTGCCCCTTCTCTTCTGTGTCCCCACCTCCTCTCCCTCTGCAGCACTTTCTTCCCGGTGGACTCCCCCTCTCCTCCACAGCTCTCCAGCAGCAATCACAGAAGGTAACGGTCCGGATGAATCACCATCTGGTGGCCCATCCTCGAGGGACACAAGACCCTGGCCAGGGTCAAGGGGATATGATCAGTATTACAAGACTGTGACAGCGAGGCTGTCAGACTTACTTTTGAACTGAATGGGGCACCTGCTGCCCCTAAGGAGGGAAACTCCAGAGGCTGGTCTTTGGTGCAGCTGGAGAAAGTCACAGAACTGAGCAGACCTGTCTCGCACCAAACTACAAACTCACAGTGTCTAAATTCAGCTGCGCCCTCTCTGCCTCCTAATCGTCTCTAATTCACCCCATGATGCCGTCAGCTTTCCTCTGACTGTTCTAGGTCCCCTCCTCCCCCAGCCCTGCCTTACTACCCTCTGTCCTCCCTTCCCATCTACAGGAGATCCAGGGATTCTGGTAAATGCCCTCCATTCGTCCCCCTCTCCCAGGACACTCTCCCTGTCCCCCTCTGCACGTGCACCCTGCGGCGAGGGGTAGTAGAAAAAGCATGGCCTCAGTTACCTCATTTGTAGAGTGTATGTTTGGCTTTTGCAGTGGCACCTCCACACTCCTTCTTGTGGTAACAGACCCCCCCCACCCCACCCTGGGAACAATGCGTGTGACTCCGCTGGACCAATCACACTACTCTATCGTGACAACAGTGATTGGCTCAGATGTGCATGTGATTGGAGATGGACCAATCAGGGTCCTTCCCCAGAATTTTTCCATCTTTAGCTAGTAGAGGAGTTCTTGCCTCTCTGCTTTTGAGGCTGTAAGAATGCGAACCAGAGGCTGCCTGCACTCATGTTCCCTGATACCTGGAGAAAGCCCATCTACAGGATAAGAGAAAGAAACACACACCCAGAAGGATAAAGGGCATGGTGACATCTGAGTTCCTGGATCCAGCTGTCCCTGGGTTAAGATCTACCCTTGCCCATTATGGTTTTGATTGGTTTCTGTCATTTACAACTGAAAGTGCTCTGACCAATGCATGTGACACTCACTGTCTCCCTTCATGTGGGGGCTGTGAGATTACAAGAGATCTTCCATACCAAGTGCTTAGCGAATGATCAATCCACTGTGGCTATTGGTCCCTGCCCATGATGTCCTCAGCACCATCCAGCTCTGCCTTCAGCTCCCCACCTTGACCAGTGCCTCCTCATTCCCCTGGCTGAAGATCTAGAACCATATTCCTTTCCTTCATTCCAGTACTGCTCACCCCAAGCCCAGTCCACTTGTCCCATACAGTTTCTCTCAGGTCTTTCCTTCCTCACTGTTCCACCTGCCACTGTCCTAGTCCAAGTCACTCGTTCATGCATTCAACAAACTAACTGAGGACGTATTACAGGCTGGGTAATGTGCCGGCCCTGTGGACGGGTCGGCAAACAAGACAGACATCATCCCCCTGACACTCTTTCCTCTGTCTTGGAACTCCCTGAGTACCTGTCAGACTAATTGCCCTTGAATTCGATTTTCATGTTACTCTTCTTTTTAATAACGTTCCTGGTTCCCTGCCTTTCTACCTCATCAAATCTCAATGTCAATGCGTGGCCTTCACAAGTCCTCCACAATCTGCCTCCAAATAGTAATAATATAATAAAACCATGAATAGTAGAAAGAGAAGCTCCCACCATTTATGGCATCCTTCCTGTGGGCAGAAACGGTGCCACTCATTTTATAGGCATGAGCTCACATTCCACGGCTGATCAGCACAGGCACCAACTATCCTGAAGGACCCTGGTGCCATGTCAGGCTGGGCAAATCAGCTCTATTCACAGCCATTCAGAAAGGTGGGTGCACGATCCTCAGTGTACAAACGTGTAAGACACATTAGGGTGAAGGGTCATGGCCAGGGTCACACGACTGGTAGAACAGCAGCACCAGGATTCAAACCCAGGAGACTGTAAGTCCAGAGCCTTCACCCCAACCCAGAGGGCCTCCCTAAATCCCCACTGCACAACCAGGTTCTTCCCCGCAATTTAAATGGGCCACACTCCTGCTCACCTCATTCATTCACACCTACAGCCATTGGTTGAGGCTTCCCTTTCAAACCATGACCTGTGTAAGAGGAGGGACCTCTGTTGGGGGCAGAGACTGTCATTTGTGCTGTGATATCTCTGGTACTTGGCACTTTACCTAGGACGTCATGGTGCTCAGCAAATATTTGTTGAATGAATGAATCCATGCAAGGAGGCACTGGAAAGAGCCAATGGCTGATTCAACATTCAAGCCCCTGGAGCCCCGGGACAGTGTGGGCTGCAATGTTGTTCGTGGCGGTGGTTAATGTTTAATAGTCATCTGAGCCACCAGGCCAGGCCTGAATTCCCACAAGACACAAAGAGTCTTGATTACCTACAGAGTAGCCGACTTGGAGTCAGGGGAACTCTGGGTCCGAATCTCAGCTCTGTGATCTTGGGCATTTAGCTTCTGTGAGCCTCAGTTTCCTTCCCTGTGATATCAAACTGCCTTGAGGGGTTATAAGGGTTAGTGGATAACATTCTTCACTATCCTTCCACATACTAGCACTCACTCAAGGTTCCTTCTGCTGAAAGGGGTTTAAGACCCAGGCGACTCGTGAAACGGGACAGAACCTCCAAGACAAGAGGTAACATGATCAGCAAGGAGAGCCCAGGGGCACCATACAAGGGGAGGATCCCCAGCCAGACTCACAGCTGAGCAGAGGTGGGGGCGAGTGGCTCACCACTGGCCTCAGGCTACTGGAGGTCACCAATTAGATGTCCAGTGTGAACCTCCGTCTCTTTAAATAGCTACCACTGCCAAGTAGAGGTGGATTCTGGGCGGGAGGGCTGGGTGTCCCCATCTGTCCCCCTGTGCCAATTCTTATCTGCCCTCCCAGTGGTGGGGAGGGGCATGTGGCTTCCCTGCCACTTCCTCACCAAGTTCCCCACTGTTTTGAATGAGAATGCTTCTTAGCTTAGCAAAAACAAGTCTGAACTTTTGTTCAAGTGAGCTTTTCTAGAAAACTAACAAACCAAAGAAAAGGAGCTTAGGAACAGATTAGTGCTGACTCCAGTTCCCACCGTCCTGTTCCCACCCTCCCCAGGCCAGCACTCACTGCTGATCACCCAAACTTCTCTCAGCTTCTTTCCTCCAGGATCCTCTGCAAGGTTGGAATCCGCTAACAAGTCACCGGCTGTTGGCCGTGGGTCCCTCAATTTCTTTCCTCGCCCAGTAGGTGATCGGAAGAATGCAGGGTTTGGGGGCCCCAGCCCTGGGTTCCACCACCAGCGCCCCGTGTGACCTTGAGCAACCCGTGTCACCTCTCTGGGCCTCAGTTTCTTTATTAAAAATGGGCCTAACAAGGAGGTGAGTGGGTGAGAGGTGAGGACTTGCTAATGAAACCTGTGGAAGCCTTCGCAGGGGGCCACGCGGAGGGGCGCTCACAAAGTATCAGCCGTGTCCCTCCCAGCTTTGAGTTATGGCCTCCCCACCTCTGGCTTCCCAGTCCTCTAAGAATTAAAAAGTCGCCGCATCTGAGCAGCACCTGCATCCCCACGGTCCGGGACAGCAGGCAGGGCGGGGGCGGGGGGGGGTGTGTGTGCCAGCGTTAGGGGGGTGGCCCAGCCACGAGCGGCCAGAGCTGCCCTCTGCTCTGCCGGCTCCCGCCCGTCCTCCTGCGACCTCCCGCCGGGGGGCTGCGGCCGAGGGGGACGGGGCGCCCTTACCGGAGAAGATCCTCCCGTCCCGAGTGAGGATCGCGGCCCCCACGCGGAAGTGACTGTAGGGGCAGTAGGCGGACTTCTTGGCCTCCCGGCAGGAGAGCAACAACCGCTGGACGAGCTCGGGCTCCAGGGCGCTGGCGGGACGCTCGTGGGCCATGTCGGTCCCCCGGGGCGGCGGACGCGCAGACACCAGCTCCCTGCCCGCGGGAGCCCTGCCCGCGGGAGCCCAGCCCGGCCCGGGCCACCTTAGCACCTCCCCTGGGGCGTGTCCCTGCGGGGCGCTGGGCGGGGCCGGGAGACCGGTCTCCCGCCCCCCCTCCCCCGCCCCGCCCCGCCCCGCAGGCTGCGTTTAGAGGGTGGTGTGGGGCCCAGTGTGGAAGGATGCCACTGTGCCCACGTGTGCTCACCCTCTCCCCTGGGGACACACTGAAGGGTGAGTGGTCGGGGCATGGATGCGCCTGTGTAAGGGGCGACTGTGGACACACCCTCCTCAGGGAAGGGGCTGCTGGCGGCGGGGGTCAGGGTGAGGTCTGGGGAGTCCAAGCTCCAAGGGTTGAAATGCCCCTCAGTTTGTTGAATGTCTCTCTCCTTCACTGGGGGTTGTGATGAGGCTGAAAGGGCAGAGCTGGGGAAGCCACTCTGGCTTCCTGAGGCAGAGAGTGTGAGACAAAGCGATAAGACCAAGTTGCTTCTTTATTTTCACCCATCTCCTTCTGACTCCTGTCTTAACCCAGAATTAATTAATTAATTAATTAATTAAAGATGCTATTTATTTATTTGACAGAGACACAGCGAGAGAGGGAACACAAGCAGGGGGAGTGGGAGAGGGAGAAGCAGGCTACCCGCTGAGCAGGGAGCCCTATGTGGAGCTCAATCCCAGGACCCTGGGATCATGACCTGAGCTGAAGGTAGACGCTTAACAACTGAGCCACCCAGGCGCACCTTAGCCCAGAATTTAAATGTATCTCAGCTGGAGGGAAACTCTGAGGTGGTCTACTCAGGCTTCCTCATTTTTTTGTTGGCAAAATAAATATTGGGCTGGTGGCCAAAGAAATGGGTTTGCTTATTGGCAGCACCACTTTCCACATGTACAACCACTGGCCAGTTCTTTGATCTCTGTGAGCTAGTTTCCTCATCGCCACAGTGACGATAGTGACCATCTCTGTTCTACTTCTTTGGATTATAGAAGAGCTTGAACTTTGAAGTTTGGTAGACCCTAGTTGGAATTCCAGTTCTTCCATTTATTAGCCATGTGACCTTAGGAAATGAATAACCCCCTGTCTCTGCAGCCTCAGGTTCCTCGTCTGTAAAGTGGGTGCACTAAGAGTATCTTGCAGAGTTTACATGAGGATCGAATGAGATAATGTGTGTACAGTGAGCATGGTTAGAGGATCCTGTGACATCACGACAGGAGCACTCTTTGTGACTTCATGCAGACTGGATTATTGTCGTTAAGCGACTTAGCCAAGATCGCATAAGAAAGGCAGAACACCAGATAGTGTCCAGAGGCAATCAAATGTCTGCAGACCCTCAGCAAGCGGGAGTGAATCAGCAGCTTCTCTGAGGGCTTAGATGGAGGGTGGGGCAGGGGAAGGGGGCAAGGTGGAGGAGGGGGAGACAATGAGGTAGCATGTCCATATCCTGCATGCTGACATCTCGGGCAAAACAGATGCAGCCCAACATCTTTGTGCCCTTTAGCCTGGAGCTCTCGCCACATAGAGATACAGGTAAACACCCAGCTGGGCAAAGTCTGCCTCATTTTCCTCTCCCCTCCCCTGCCTTCTTCCCTTCAGATTCTCCCCACCCCCTTTCTACACATCCAGCCCTCAGAGAAGCATCTGGTTCCTTCCCGCCTGCTGGTGCAATTTTCTTCTGGTTCTACACACTTGGCGTCGAGAGCAGTTTCCTGGATCTGAAGCAGGATTGGCAGAGAGAACCAGGAACTCCAGTGGCACAATCGGTTAGTGCGCGGTACTTATACAGCAGAGAGAACCAGCCCTAATATTCCTTTGGCTTCTCTATCCCTGCACTACCCAGTGACTCCGAAGACCCCTCTCCTGAGGTTCCAGGAAAGAAAACAGAGGATGTCTGGGGACCATGTGCAGCCATTCCACATGGAAATAATTCCAAAGCTTCTGGGAGCCAAGTATAATTGCAAAGGGAAAAGGGATACAGGTCCTGCTGGCCTAGCAGGCCTGTCGGAGACCTCCATAGGCAGTGCTGTTTCTGTCCCCTGCCCTGTCTTGACTCACATCAGCTAAGCCCAGCCCTACCTGGGACTGGGGCTGGGCTCCTTGGCTCCATAGCACCAGGAGAACTTGGATGACCTCGGCCCCTTCAAACCTCTTTACCTGCACTTGGCCACAAGTGGGGACAGTGCCCCTTCTTGCACAGCCAGCTGAATTTTGTAGTTCTAGAATTTCTGATGGAAGGGGCTTGGAGTGGGCGTGGAAACGTACAAAGCTAAGTTTTAGAGCAATAATATTAACAACATTTCCTAAACATGCTTTAATCTCCACTCTACATAAAATTAAGAAAGGTTAATTGCCCAGCTCAAAGAATAGGAATATCTAAGAAAGGTGTTTTGAGTGGTGGTGGAGATTGTCAGGGCCCAAAGCCCTTCCCCGCACCCCCAGGCCTTTCCTCTGTGCAGGAGGACCATCCACAGCTCCCCGTGTTAGAGCTCAGATACCATTATCTCACTTCTTCATTGAATGAATAGTTTACTCATAATCACAGCTAACTCTTATTAAGCTCTTCCCATGCGCCAAGCCCTGTGCTAAACACATGATTTGAATTATTTCATGTTATCCTCACCACGAGGTAGATGCAGGCAAGATTACTGCCCATGTTTTACTGATGAGGATGAGTAGGGGACAGGGAGGTTAGGTAGGGAGGGATAGGTAGGGGGCTTCATGATCAGATTCACCAAAAATCCCAGAAATGCTGAGGCCAAAGAAACCAGAGATAAGGGGAACAAACCAGACCACCCTGCCCTGGGCGTGCATCCGAGGTGGGGGCTTTTTCTGGCAGTCACATTGTGACCACAAAGAATGACCAGACCCCAAAGAAGAAGTGAGCCATTAAAGATGTTATCACCAGTCCTTACTGGAACCAAGAGGTCACAGGACTGTTAAGACCACAAGCTCCCTGGTCAGGGACCCTCCCCGGCCGCGGCCCCGCCACCTTGAGAGAGAATGGCCTTTAAATAAAAGACTGTTGGTGGAGGCCCAGGTTGGCGATGGGGTCAGGACCCCTCCCACTCCTGAGAGCTTTTTATGTACCTTTGCTTCATAAAATTCTATGGTTCTGCTCACTCTCCTTCGTCTGCAAGATTCATTCTTCGACTCCATGAGACAAAAACCTCGATTTCTTGCTTCGTTTTAGTGCTGAAACCCGGGACCACTCCCACCAAAGGGTGAGTAAAAGCAGACTCTTTTCTTTCCTGGGAGGTGTCTTTCCCTTGGATAACCTCTTCTTTTAATAAACAACAAAACCAGGCACCTGTCGGCCAGTTAAAAGTGAATAGTGTCGCCATCGGTCTTAAGTCTCAGGTGACAGGCTTCTGGACAAAGTTCTTAAAAGAAGGGAATGTTGGCCTAACCCTACCTACTTCTGCTTTTTGTTCATTGACCTTTCTTAAATGGCTTTCCTCCACCTTTCTTCCACCTCCCACTTTGCCCATAGTAGGGCCCTTTCTGACCCCCGATGATCAGTACCCCCTTCTAATCAGGGATTCATTTCAGGATTTAGAATCACTTTTTATCCTCTGCAGTTTCTTCTCTAAGCACCTGGGAATGTCATGGGTTCAACAGTTCCGAAAGTAATCCCACCGACTTTGTCATCTGGGGGAAGGGTGTTGCCTATGTAGATATAAGACTTTTTCTTTTAAAAGTGTCTTTCATGAGAATTTAGTTTAGGAGGAACCAGCTTTTCCTCAGTTTTTGCTGCCTGGTAAGACATAGGTTTTTCTATTAGGTATATTTAGGTTTAATCACAGTCAGGAATTAAAACCCAAATTATCGGCAAGCAGGATTAGAGCTATCTCCTTATATGACAAGTTGGAGGCAGCCCCATGTTTCTTGGGCCCTTCCTCCCCTTGGAATGCTTTGGGCATTAAGGAGGGAGTTGCAAACCCCCAGCCAATTCCTCGATTGGTTGCATTAGTGGCTGGGGCTTTAAGGGGTCATATAGTTGAGACTTTCTTGCTCCAACAGCAAAGAAGATGGAATTATAATGATGTTAAATCTCAGGGCCTGCACCCCTCAACAGGGCCATACTTGCAAATGGGACATCAGGTATACGAACGGAAAAAGCACCCAAGGGGTAAGGCAAGGAAACAATTTAATTTGGCTTATAATTAGCCTGATTGACCAAAGCACATGGGGCTAGGGCTACAAGCGAATTTATATGACCAAACAATGAGGGTTCAATCAAGAGAGCTCCGAAGAATGAGGTCCTTAAAAAGGATTTCCCCTACTCTGTCCAAGGTTCATACGGGGAGCACACATAAGGATTGGCAATCCAGCACTCTGAACCTGCCCTTTGGTCACCACTGGTGACCCTGGGGTCTCTGAGACACGTAAAAGGATGGAAATGGCCCTGGGGGTCATGCCCCAGGGAGGCCTCATCCTTAAGCAACACACGCCTCCCATTGGAGAGACCCAAGCTGTTTTGCTTGTGTTCTTAGCCTTCTAAAAGAATATCAAAGTTTCAACTGTTGACCTCGCTAAGCCCCTCATGATTAGGCCAGACTTTCTGAGAAATCCAGAGGAAACCAGGGGGATCGGGTCACCGGAGCAGGTAAGGATGGCTACTCCTGCTGGCCTGGTCCTTCCTCTCATGTGGGTAGGCAAGCAGGCAGATTTATGTAAGACATACAAATTGGGCCCCACTCTCCTGGCCTCCATAAATGACTAAGAAAAGCAAATACCTAATAACTCACTCCCTGAGGTTCCTTCCCCAGTGGTGGTACGCCCTCTAAGCCTCCTTGCCCTTCTTATCCGGGTGGAACTAGACTAAAAGTCTTCCCGATGACAAAAAGGTGCGCTTGTTATGTGCATGAACTGAGATGCCTAGTGAATTCAGCCCAATTAAGGTACATGGACCTTTCTCTCTCCAAGATTTTAAACAGATTAAGAGGGATTTGGGCAAATTCACCGATAACCCTGACCAATACATTGAAGTCTTTCAAAATTTAACTCAGATGTTTGAATTAGACTGGGAAGCTGTAATCTTGATTCTTACAGAAAAGGA